CAGAGTAGAACTGCGACCTCGTAAGACAGAGTAGAACTGCGACCTCGTAAGACAGAGTAGAACTGTGCCTTCGGGTTTCTGAGACGCCGTCGATGAGCGGAGGAGCCTGGCTGTCTCCTGAGGATCGACTGCACATATACAGCGGCAATCCCAGTGAAAACAGAAGCTGTGCTTTAGAGCTCAGCTTCACGATATACCCCCTCAACTTCTCCATACATGGGGAATCTGGAGCTGCCAATGGGAATGTCATGCCCACAGATGGTCTGCCTGAAGACAAGCTAGCCAGGTGCATCAGTGTACACACCCAATACCGCGCCCGACTCACCCCGAGACGAGTCCGGCTCCCAGCAGGGTCCCCCTGCCCTTTCCTGTCAGCAACTTTCAGAGCCACCGGGATCCAGCTGTAAGAACTTTGACCTTTTATTCCCTTCTTCCTCAGAAGCTTCCTTGGGCCCTCTGTGAATCCCCTTCCCCACCAATCAACAACTTCACATTCCAAACAGATGTTTGAAATGTGTGGGGAAACCACACCTGCCTGGTGGACCCTAAGTCCCTGCCAAACAAACGTAGACAAGGAGCGGAGCATTAAACTCTCCTCACGGGGGAGTAGATGCCAACCTGCCTGAGAGCTGAAAGTGACCGCTCAAAAGATGGTTCTCACACCACCACAAGAAAGCGCTGGCTAGTTCGTCCCTTTCAGAGCAGCTTTCTCTTGTTAAGAAGTTGTGTTGGTCTTCATTAAACAGAATGCAACTATGACTTGAACCAGGTCCTCCAGTGTCAGATTTTTTTGTTCTGGTTCTTTCGATGACGCCCCAAGGCATCCTTCGCTCACCCGGTTGTGAGACAGTGGCCGAGTGTGTAACAGATGAACAATTCTCCAGTCGACCTTAGAAGCCCAGGCTCACATGCATGAACTTGTGCAAATACACATCTTAGGAAGCAAACTGGAGTAGCGGTGTATGGAGTATGAGGAGGAACCAGCAAGTCAAAAGTGTATACCTACCCTCCGAGGTCACCCAGGGCCACCAGCCACCACCCCATAGGAGGCCCCTGGGCAGCACTGCTTCCCTCTTCCTCGGCACGTCACTCACACGGCTCTTTCCGCCCACAGGACTTTGTGAACGGAATGGACTTCTGCAGCAGTGGTTTTCAAGGTCTTGACATCCAGCCTCCAGATGGGCCTCTCTGGATCTTGGGTGACGTCTTCATTAGACGATTTTACTCAGTCTTTGACCGTGGGAACAACCAGGTGGGGCTGGCCCCTGCAGTCCCCTAAGGAAGGATCTTGTGTCTGTGTTGGCCTGCCCCCATGCTCCTTAGAATTCCGGCTGGGCCTGTTCGGTTGGGACACCCTTCACATCTGTTCAACAAGTCATTATGTCCACACTGCAATTGCTCCTGAACTACCCCTTGAACTTGGAACAAGCAGCACATAAAAAGACCCCAGCACACGCACGATACACATCGATGCACTCACACACATACACACACACACACACACACACACACACACACACACACA